ATGTATACCCGGGTTTGCAAGTCGATTTGAAATCGATGGATTTTTAGAACCGTTTGATTTGATATCTACTTGATATTCTATTGATCTTTGAAAGAAGATCCGACGCAGCATTGACATCGATCTTTTAGATGCAGCGTTGATAAAATGTTGATCTTCAAAGAAGATCAATAGAAAATGTAGTCAATATCAAATCAAACGGTCCGAAAAATCAATCGATATTAACTTGATTTCAACTTATAAACTAGAGTATTGATTAAAAAATTGCTATTAGTGTAAATTATTTTCTTATAATGTATTTATTGTATTATATATAAAAACATACGTGTCAAGTATATTTTATTTAATTGTTTCTTCATAAAGTTTACTAAGCACGTGATTATATTCTGCACACGTTATATTTTAATGTAACTAGTTTCTTTTTTAAATTGTTAATATTTTTATGTGATTGATATTAAAGAAATGAAACGCGTCTGTAGATTGATTTTCACACATCATTTATTTATCTGATTGAAATTTTGCACACTATTAATTTATTTGATCGAAGTTTACTTTAAAGACGTTTTTTAAAATTCACGAGCTTCCTTAAAGTCACCGCCAATTGAACTGTTTTACATTTTTCCGTAACTTTTGAAACGATGATGCGGCGCGAGATGTACCACCCTCATCGAATATACCGTCCTACTCTGAAATGCAATATACACGACAATGGTACCTCTCTCGTCAGGTGAGTGGACACTCGTTTCTTATTTAGTTTCATTATTTATTGCAAACAGTTACATACTGGTACGCACATGCACTATCGATTTACAATGTAACAAATTTAAATTAATTTAGATTAACTGATAGTGTAAAATTACCTTAAAACAATTTGGAAATAAATACATACGTGTTATAGAAAACCAATTTTAGTTGTGCTGCAATTCAAAAGAGAAAAATAAATCTATTTAAATTAAACAATTAAAAGCTACTATAATAAATCGCAGTTACTTCGATTTGTGAAATTTATCCAAACTATAAATCAAATGAAACTTAATAGGTACAAATTGCTTGAATATATAAATCATAATTTTTATTCTTTTTTATTCTTTTTTATTCTGAATAAAATAAAATACGTATCGTATAAAACTTAATTAAAATCACCATATGATCAATATTACGGATTGTCATATCATGTACAATAAAAAAAGAAACGCGCGCACAATACATACGTATTTCGATACTGATCGCAATTTATATCGCAGATCAATATACAAAACCGCTATATGTTAAACGCGTGCCCGCTCGACCTTCAGTTTCTCTCTCTCTCTCTCTCTCTCTCTCTCTCTCTCTCTCTCTCTCTTTCTTGGCAACATGCTATGCCACTACGATATGTACATATATATATGTATATATATATATATATATATATGTGTGTGTGTGTATATATATCAATGTGTATCCATAATAATCAAAATCCGAAACAAGACGCAGCTAATGAACTCACTTGTTGTAGAGCACTATGTCAGGTCGCCATATGTGATCGGACGGCACGTGCAACATGCGAACACCACCATACTCCTTCGGCTCCCATCGCAGTTTGTAGTCGTACCATGACTTAAAACAGCCAATACAAGAAATATAAATATATTATTAATATGCTCTACATACAATCTGTAACATGATTAATAATGCGTCGTGGAATTGTAAATAAGTGGAACAACAATTCATTCACGATAAATACAATTTTTAATAATTGCGATTAATAATTGCAATTTTCCATTGTCATTAACAATAATATTTCATAACAGGATCTTTGTTTAATACTCCGGTATCAATAATTCATAAATAAAAAGTAATAAATCTTCCGCAAATAAAGCTTCATTCCAACTTTTGTTGGAAATTAAATTTTGTAAAATTGAAAATTAAATTTTGTAATTAATAAACACGTACTCAAATAAAATATTATTTTTATGTAATTTTAACGTGAAACTTAATTCCAGAGATATGCACCTCTGAAAATTGGAAAATCGTAATAAATGATATCGAAATTCGTGGAAAAATTTAATATGATCAAAACATTTGATATTAGTGCGATAATAGACATAAATTATCGCTTATATGTAGACATCGGATTTTTATGCAATTTTTTTAGAAATCAGACTGGAAAATAGCATCAAAATAGAAATTTGTCTTATTAAAAAAGCATTCTAAAAATATATTATTTGTGCATATTGTGCAAATTTGTATATTTTGTGTATATCTGCAAAAAATATCTGCATAAAAATCTGATGTCTACTTATATGTCATCAACTAAAAGATTGCAACACTTTCTTTTCGATGGGTTCCGGAATGCAGTTTGCTCACTGAGCGATTGATTCTTATAGAATCTAACCATTTAGGATCAACCGCTCTATGAGTAAGACTGATGAGTTCCGAAACCTATCAAAAAAATGTTTTGCAACTCTTTAGTTGATAAGTGTCATGTACATATGTAGACACACGCACACACGCACACACACACACTATATATATATATATATATAT